CATAAGCTAAAGAATGACCCTCGTTTTGCACATTCTTCATTGCGATTCATAGTCGCTATTTAAAAAAAAAAAAAATACACTGTTCACACATTGAGCAAAGCGAGGTACGGCGCAATTTTTATTTGCAAGTCTTTAAGATAAACCGAGAGTCTCTTCGTTTCTCGCATTTTCATCGAATTGTACAATATATATCATTATGGATATAATTAGAAATGTGTTTTTGTTTCTCAAGACCGTAGAAAACTAAACGGTTGTCATAGATGTAAAAGAATGAGTGAAACAAGCGAGGGCATTAATAGTCTCGGCTAATATTAAAGAATAAAGACTAAAGGGACTTCAGGATCTCCATTAGATCTGCTACGACTCTTGTTTGTTTTAAACAATCACACATGAGCTCTTAGTATTGTTACAAATGAATAATTGCTTACATTTACGACTTGACATTACGGCGGAGCAGCAGTGAAATCATGGGATGTTGATTATGATTTTTTTTTTGCGACCATATTGGTTTGACTATCAATCATCATGCTTTTTATCTTGGCAGGATAAAAGAAATCTTCATCGTGCGATTATCACTATTGCTCCATCGTAAATATATAGAAATAACGTGACGGAAATCGAGAACCGTTCAGTTGACATAAATCTTTATGATTCTACAAAGAAAGAATAATAATGTATCTTTTATATATCTAAATAGCTTTTCTTCATTTATTCTAACGATTGTACGGACATTCCTTCTTTTTTCTTCATATAAAATGTCGATGACGATAAAATCAAGACCACAACAACAATGCAATGATGAAACTGTGTAATATCGAATCCTAAGATTCACGGATTATATTCGGAGTAAATTCCTTTATCTTTTCCGTTTCCTTTTTTGTTTCAACATACATGTATACACATGCGTTCGCATACAAGTGCATTCGCCTGTACGTTTAGAAGCCTAGTACAATAAAATCTAACGCCAAAGTTCAACTTAGTCTAAGTCTAAGCACTTACTTAATATTATAATTAACGCGTTATATTTACATTTAAAAATAGATTCAAGAGTTCATATGTGGGTGGTACGTTTCTGTGTACACGACAGTCCACCGAGTCTATTTCAAGTGAAAATTTATATTGTTACCACTGTCCCCCACAGTATATTACCTGTCCATAGGCCTAGTGGCTGGCACCGAGCTTTCCACAAGATCATGTTTCTCAACCGGTGAATTTTCTAAAGTGTAATCCACCGGATATTTTTCGGGATACGTTGGGGTGGCCTCACCCTGCTGTCTCAGTTTCAGTTCGCTCGATCTCTCCTGATAGAAGCTTTGCGACGCCTCAATATTCGGCGACGAAGACGATTGTTCTGTCTTCCCTTCCAGATCGTCCGTGGAATAGTAACTTTGGCTCGCTTCGCTTTCGGGTCTACTGGGATCGTAATAGCCGGGCGAGATACTATGACTGGTGTAGTTGGGCGTCTCCTCGGTCGGAGCAAAGTAGCTTTGACTCACCTCCTGAGGATTGCCCTCGTAATAGCCACCGGGTGTGACGTGTTCCTCGTGCGGATCTTCTTCCAATCGAGAATTCGCATCCTGATCTACAGACTCATAGTAACTCGCTGTTACTTCCTGGTGATGAGCGTAGTAGCTCGATGGTTCGTTCCGGTGATGATCGCTGCTCTCCGTGACAAAGTTCTGCGAACAGGTTTCCTCCAGACCGGGCATCGAAATCGGCACTTCGTACGACGTCGAGACGTTTTGCTCGACAATCACTTGGTCCTCGTAGCTGGAAGTAGGCACAGAATCTACGTGATGAGTCGACGTGATGTCGGGATTCAAGTTATACGATGAAGAGGTCGGGATTTCCGGCACACCATTATCATGAATACTAGGATGCTCCGCGTTGACCGACGTGTCCGGTATCACGCTGGACGAGGCGATGTTGAGCTCTTCGCATGGCGGTATTTCGTATGATGACGTGCTTATCGCACTCTCCTGATCTTGATCGCGCTCTTGATTCTCGGGTGTCTCCGGTACGTAGGACGAACTTGCTGTTTCGTCCTCATTCAATCCGGAATTATTTGTCGACACGGATGATGTGCCTATACCATCGACACCGACGTCATTCGACTGTGACGGTATATTGCCCTCCTGACTGATCTCTGCATCGATTTCCAAATTCTCCGCCACACTCTCACCTTTGTCGACTTCGTAACTTTGCGTAGGGAAACTCTGATCGTCGATCGCCTCGTCGACACTCGGTCGCTCCACTTGACTTTGCACAATCTCGTTGAAAGACTGCGTTGGCGCGTTTACATTGGATTCCGCCAAAGCTTCATAAGATTGGGACGCCTCATTGATCTTTGTATGTTCAAATGATTGTGACGGTGGTTCCGCCACGACAGTCTCCTCATCCATCTCCATCGGTTCATACGCGATAGACTGCGTGGCTTCTCCTGAAGAGCTCTCCAACTTGGGGGCAGATTGACTGGGTAAATCGATGGAATCGCTGCTGACAGATACATTGAACTGCTCATACTGAGACTGCGAAGGCGTTTCTTGACTAGCTTCCGCGATTACCTCCTTCTCCTCTTCCTCCTCTTCTTCTTCCTCAAAACGTAGTTCCATACTCTGCCGCAAACGACGTCTGTCCGATTCTTCCTGCGACGATGGCTCGTCCCTTTGACAATCCTTCATACTTTTCTTTGTGTCAATCGTGCTTCCGGTGAATAGATCCGGTTCGACTGCTTCATCCAATTCCATAGTTGCATCATTCGAAGGATTTAATGATTCGGCTGATAAAACTCGCGAAGCTGTTCTATGGGCTTCCTTTCGATTTGACATGCCTGCTGCTTGCTGATCTACCGACTTAGCTTTATTGCTAGATTCTTCAGAAACCGCTAGCTGCTTCAACTTATCCATCGCCTCATACGATTCGTTCGCAGTTTTATGTTCGCTCGAGTCCGTCACTTTGTAGGTCAGTTGTTTCACAGATTCTATCTGCGAATTAGGTCCGGATGTAATCAAAGTGGTTTCGTCTATTGTCGATAAACCGATAATCGACGTATCGTTTTCTTTGTTTTCCATTTCCTGCACTTCTATTGTACTCGAAGCCGTATCTTCGTTAGTCTTTGATTGCTGCAGAATCAATTCTTCAGATGTGTTAGAAACTTCCTGAGAAGAATAAACACTCTGCAACGTCGGAGACTGTCTCTCGTCCAAATTCTTATTGGTTGACATAATCAGTTTTTGAGGAGAGACTGAAATTTGATTTTCCGGCGTCTTGGAGACCAACATTTCCGATACTGGCACTTGCACGAACGTTTGCTCGGCGACGATCGTTGTTGTTAATTGCGAATTGTCCGCGTACGTATCGTCAATGATCGGCATCGACGGAGTAGTTTGTACTTGCGCGCTCTCCAGGACACTGTTCGGCATTGTGACTGTATACGAGGATGACGGTGCAATCGCGATCTCAGCGC